ATCAATGCGGAAAAGAAATGCTAAAGTACCATAAATCATGTTTCTTCAACAACCTAGCCGTCCCCCGAGCCAAAAACTTGACTTGCTTGTACCGTCACACTAGAAAGCGGTCGAGTGTACCCACCTAATAATGCGTAGTATAGCGGATTTAGCTTTAGTTGTCAACCCGGGTCCTAGATGTGATGACTACTCTGTGAATTCTCGTTATCTAGCTGTTAAATGGTAGTGAGGTTATAACTAATCTAAACAAACCACAAAGCAGTAAAGATTGTAGTTCAAGTTTGAGAGAGGTCACCCAGATATGGTTCCCCCTAGATTGCAGTTAAGTTTGGTTATAATTCACCAAGTTCAGATTTAATGACAGTTATACTGCGGAAGGTTCTTATTCAGTCTGAAGTCTCGACTAAAGGTCTCCAGACCCTCTCACTCTGAATACCCGACAGGCGACTAACCTCCACCGGAGTAAACAAACTAAGGCCCTAACGTGCAAAACGTCCTCTACTGGAGGAAATCCAGTACAAAGTAGAGAATTGACTCCTCAACTAAAGTAGTCAATTCTCCACCTTCAATTAAGGGTGTTCTGTCAACCTAGGCAGATATTCTCTTGCTAGTTCAAAGCAGAAACTATAGGAATTTGATAAGGATTCATGCAATTCAGAAAATCATGCCTCAATTGAGTATAATCAATGTCAAAGGATCATGTACTTGAGTTCATACAACCAAACCTAACATACAAATCTAGGGTTCTTCATACCCAGGTGAGAGAGAGAGTTTACTCCATAGAGAGAGAAGACAAATCAGCTTCAGATGCGGAAATCATTACGTGGAGGGCTGCAAATGAGACGAGTCGAGTCGAGTTTTACCCCAGCTTGAGCTCGGCTTGGTAATAAACGAGTCGAGCTCGAGATAAACACGTTTATTAATGAGTCGAGTCGAGCTCGAGCTAGCTTGTTTAACTAAATCTTGACTTTTATTTGGTACTTCATTTTGTATATCATGATACATATGATTTATTTTGTTAGCTAATCTCATATTATACTTTGTTTGTATCATATATCAGTTAGTTAATAAATTTAACTACTCCAAATCATATTATTTCATAGTATCGAACCAATCTATGATACATAATTTCTTTTTAAAATAGAAAATAAGATATATTTGCTCACATACGCAACGTGTTAAACTTTATATATGGCGAGATATATAATTTAATAATCATATGAATTAAAATCATAAGATATAGACTAATTCGTCCATAAGTCGGTAATCGAGTTGGCTGTCTAGCCACATGTTGAGACATGTCATGAGCTCTAAACGAGCCAGCTCACGAGTTTAGCTCAATAAGCCACCGAGTCGAGCTAGCTCGCAAGCTTCACGAGATGAACAAAGCTTAACTCATGTTTGGCTCATTTATTAACTCGCGAGCAGCTCGGCTCATTTGCAGCCCTAGTGGAGGATGAAAATAGGCTTCTGATTGTCAATCGACACTTCTCCAAGCTTCAATCGAGCTCCAATGGTGTCAAAACTCGATCTAAGTCACTTTGGAGGTTTAGTTCATCGCTTTCTCTCTCTAGGTTTCACTTTCTTTTTCCAAAACTTGAATGCATGCCAAAGAACCCAGAATTTCCTACGAACAACTGCAGCTCTCAAAACCCGACCCAAATACCCAGTCGGGTATTAAGAGGACCGGTCGGGTATGTGGAAACGGTACGTAGCAAACTTCTGGAGAATACCCGATTAAGGGTAACAATACCTGATCGGGTATTTAGGGATCATGTCCGGGCCTCCAAATTGCCTTTACCCGGTCTCCAACCACATATACCCGGTCGGGTATTATAGTGACCTGACCAGGTATTTTTCCTATCAGCTCCTTCTCGCCGCCAACTCTCCATTTTTTACTCGAAACTCGCCTCCAAGCCTGACATAAACGCACAACCTAGCGTGAAATCAGCTTAAAATACGAGAATCAATTCTCAAACAGTTCAATAATCATGGGCAAAATATGTGCAAATAACGGTCTATCAGATACCATGGGAAAGGGTAGAACCACATTTGAAAGGAGTGAATGACGAGAAGGAGGTGAATTCAGCAGCCATCCATCATCAATGATATGAACCAAATGGCTAGATCCTATTTGCCACCAAATACCAAGGAGCAATAGACTTATACCCTCAAGAATTCCCCTTCATGCCCAAGATGGACGAGATCAAAAAGAAGCTAGAAGAAAAGATGATTCCCGGGAAGTAAGAACCATTGTACCAGGAAACCAACACCCCATATGGCTCTCTAAGAAACCTTCAAGCCTGCTTTGCCAGAAGAGCTAAGTTGTCACTATTGCAGTCTCGAAAACCTAGTCCTCCGCTCAACTTTTGACATCAATTACGCTAATATTTTACGTTAATATTTTATTGACCGTCCAAATTGACGATTAATGCTAGGGTCAGGTCAAATTAGTCAATTACGCTAATATTTTGGGCCAAGATATGCATTTTTTATAATAATGGTCAGGATAGTAATTTCGAGAAAAATTCGAGCCAAACAAATATATTAAGTATTAACCCCTAATTAAATCAGTGACTTTAATGATTTGGTCCGACTACGATCACGACAAAAATATAATCCCGTAGACCGAGTCAATTCAATCAGAACCAATTTCCACCACATTATGGGATGTTAACTTGTCATTCGGTTTCCTATAGCTGCCACAACATAAAAGAAATTAAAACAAAAATTAGTGATGACAATGGGGCGGGCTGGTACCTCAATACCCATGCCTCGTCACACGCTATTGTGGGTCGGGGCGGGTCGACCCACTCATATATGTTATTTAAAAAAAACATACACCCAAAATTTTACTTTTTACGATAATACGAAGAGGAAAACACTATATGAATGAAAATAGTGATAATAGAATGGGTAAATGAGTCTAACTAGTTGAAAGATCAATTCTGACTAGTTGAAGAAAAGTTAAAATAGGAGAAATATGAATAAATACTCTAAAAACTAAAAAGTGAGACAGAATGTCTCAAGAATGGGGCAGGGCGGGCCAAAAGTAGATACTCATGCCTCGCCCGTGCTACTGCGGGTCCGGGTGATACCCGACTTGGGGTAATACCCGTCCCATCGCGGGTCAAGTCGGGTAATACTTGACGAGGCGGGTTCAACTTGCCATCCCTAACGAAAATGAAGTTGCCGTTTGCTGAGAAATAAAGCATGAAAAAAATTTGTTTAGCTAAGAAGGCCCGCTATCTAGGGGTATTCAAATGGTTACCATGGCAATTACCAAACCAAATAAGCCTGAAACCTGTTAACCATGGAATACAATATCATAACCAAACCATCCAAACTAATACAAAAACCAAATTAAGCAAATTAAAGTTTAATCAGTTTGGTTAATAGGTTAACCAGAATAACCAATATAACATCACATTTATCATTAAGTGAGGAATCTCCAATTAATGCATCAATTTGCAATTTATATAATGAATAGAGCATAACAATCAACACATAGTTATAGTTAATTTTTAACATAAATACATGTAACTAATACAATTATCTTACTGTTAATAGAAGTATTCACATAACAAAATACATATGTCAATGGTATGGGTTAATGAATTATTGTGTTTTGTAAATTGACGTATTCTCTTAGCAATAGCCATAGGCTGAAATAGATTGGATGAGAAACGTTCATAACCCACTATATAGCTATCATATACGTTCTCTCTCCTTTTTTTTAAATCATTGGTTAAGATTAAACGAAGGGTATTTTGGAATGAAAAAAACTTGACACACTCAATCATCCCCCATATAAATGAAAAAACCCCTAACTCCTCCCTCTCCCCTCCTCCCTATCTCCCGCAGACGGCTCTGCCCCACCCCCTCCACTGTGGCATGTTGCAATAGCGTAACGAGTCTAAGATTAAAGAAGCGTTCTAAACTTTGATAGGTATAGCATTGCTAGAAAATAGAGAAGAGAGCTTACCGTTTCTTTCTATTCTATTAGTCTGAGATTGAGTTAAGTCCTGAGATGAAAAGAAAGTTCAAACACCATCGATTGAGAGCCGTGCAAGAAGGCAGGGATATAGCAAGTATTCTATCACAAGTTTGACACAAGTCGTACCTCGCAGCCCCCTTAGCTACTTGTACTAAAAAACTAGGACGCTATACGGAAGTTCGTGCCTGCTTATCCCGGCTACAATAGCCATAGCTTGAACATTAGTCTGCCGCTTTCTTACTAAAAATATTGCCTCAGTTCGGATTGCTTGTTCAAGCAATCATACTTTCAACTTGAAAAGGTCATCTTGCAAGGAATGGCCTGTATCGGGGCCCTCTTACCGAGGGGAAGCAGTCAGGGGATTGGAGAAAGAAGATTGGCTCTCTTGCTAGAGCTGGTTCTAAACCTGCCCTCGGGCTGAACTGTTGACGCTAGAAATGACTTATTAAGTTAAGAGAGTTACTGCCGCCATTTACCGGGGGTTCCATTCAAAGCTTATAACACTTATCCTTCTGACCTTCCAGCACCGGCGCACACGACTCTGGACCAAAGGGCTTCCGGCTCGGTCAACAATCTCCAAGCCAGCTTGAGCATGAAGGTTTCATTCATCCGGGAAGCGTCTCGCAAGCCTAGGCCACCATTTTGTAGTTTTCTGCTCCTTCAAACAAGCAGAAAAGCACTTTCCAAACAAATGTGGATCCTACTGATGCCATAGTGCCAGTTCCCGCACTCCAGAAGCAAGCTGTTTATACGAGACGGATCATATTAGAGCACGACAAGAAGTACTTGGTACTTAGATCATTGGAGGAACAATACCGAAGCCTGAGGATGCTCCGGAATCGTTTCGCTTGCTCGTTCGAGAACTACGATCTTTTCGCTCTGGAACTGAATCATTTCCTTGTATCTGAGAGAAACCTTCTGATTAATAGGAAGGACTTGACGCGGAAGGCCAGCGTTTAACCATAAACGATATATACCCTGGGTGACCCAGATTCCTCTTCACCAAGGTCTGTGGGAGCTTTAAATAAGGCCGAGAGAGAGAGATGGAGGACTGACTCGGCGCGATAAGGTTAGCTCGGTTCTCACCTTGATCGATGTTGTAGCTCAGGATAGCTGCCCCGGGTAGAAAGGAGAGGATGCGAATTGATGAGCTCTCTCGAACGCATGTTCTAGGTATGAAATAGCATAGTCTCGACGGCAGCCTTGAACCGACGCTAGCCCGCGGAGCTAAAGCCCGTTTAACCGCCCTCTTTTAGGGAATAGGTTCTTCCTTTCTCTATTAGATAGGATAGGGAAGGAAGACCCAACAATCGTAGACTTGAAAGTGAGTGAATACCCGGTTTAGACCATCGGGGAGGAAAGCAGCAGCCAACGAGAATAGAAGCGGCTCGCTTCCGGCTTGGCTTGTAGTCGTAGTCTTTTAGTTTTCACTAGTAGGATGCTTTCTATCATTAAAATGATCCTTTCCTAAAGCAATTAATTAATCTCTCAGTTGGTTAGCTAGTGTATTTGGACTTATTTCTTTCCGTTCGAAAAGACTTCAATGCTATCAGAAGCAACGTCATTCAAATCTCCAATCACCGCCCAAGGAATGGTATTCTCCTCTGCGAAGTGCCTCAAACTGTGCCATAGCTGGTCCCTCACAGCAATACGATGGCTAGCCTGTGGGGAACTACTGCTCGGTTGGGGAGAAGGGAAAGGCTTGGGCCTACCTATCGCGATAGGACCTTATAAAGGAACGAGAGCTGTTGAGAAGTTCCATATTGCCGAGCCGAAGGGCAGCACTTATGTACGTGCTCGTAAGCCGGTAAACCAATCTATAACTCTTTCCAGGTCTACCGAACCAGCTCTGAGGAAGCAATTTGTTAAGAGGTCGTGCGACATGAAGACATTGATAGCAATATGGGGGAAGTTCCCATCAGGCAACAACGGCTTTCCTCTGCTCTTACTCCCGCACTCGGGAAAAGAGGAGCTACTAACACTGACTACTCTCTGCTATCTTGCATCAGGAGGTCTGGAAGACAAGCCCAATAAAAGAAGACCAAAAGTGCCTCCTGCTTGACTCTAATCTCGCACCTTAAACTAAACTGTGTTTTCGTCCCAAATACTTGCACCAGGTGGTGGCATTATGGGTTGTTGGGAGAGTTGACAGTCCCTGGGTAGGGTGGTTGTCGAGACAAAATCTCCTTTCCGACGGTGCTTCTTTTACGGTCGGTCGAGCTACTTCGTTCCTCTCCCTATCGGTCGAGCTACTTCGTGTCGGATTAGCCGAAAATAAAAGTTTATCTGCAAAGAATACCTGACCATCCCACCCCGTTGAGGATGATGTGTACCCTCTTGGCCTATGAATACTTGCTTTCTCCGTCCAGCTGCTCACACTGAAAGCACGGCTCCTTTACTCCCCCGAGGGACAAGCGACGGATGCTTCGTTAGCAGTGATCTACGAGGTGGAGCTAAACATGGTAAACCTGCCTACTGGACGCTTCGTTCACACCAAAGTAATAATGAAGACCTAAACTAGTGGGATCAGTGTGAGACTAGCTGCCAAGCCATCAGTGAGATAAGGGGGCTAGGAAATCAAATAAAAAATTTAGGAAGATGAGGTTTACTCAGTATCCAAAGCCTTATTTCTGTGGCTTTAATAATAATAAAAGTGAAAGCGTGACGATCATTAAATAACTAAAGCAAGGTCTCATATATAGGAAGACTTGCCTCTTTTTTGTTATGGAACCAGCGATTTTGAGTTGAAATCCCAAAGGATTGGTCGAACTACAATAAGCAGTAGTACGTAAGGGCTGACTTGTTTCAACATTTTAAAGACTTAGATCTCTCATACCATATGATTTCCCTATTAGGCCGGGTCATTTCGGGACAAGCGGATCATTTATGATGAAGAGGATGAGCTTCAAGAGAATGATTCGGAGTTCTTGCAGAGCGAAGCCTAGCCTATTATTATGAAAACAGCTAACAATAGCAAGTGGGAAAACCTCTAAGTTCTGGATCTGGTCAGATCAATCAAGAGATAGGGGTTCGTTCGGCCAAACATTTTTTTCCTAAGCTAGGACGCTCGAGCTACTTATTGATAGACGTGAGGGTGGAATGGAAATAATTATCTCTCTCTCGATCGGCTCAGCTGAATACCCTAAACCGAATACTCGTCGCAGAATTCACTCCTAAGCCCCGGGCAATTCGACCATCAACATCAACTCTTTCTCTATGATAATTCGAGAGTGAAAAAAGAAACATTCATTTTAGTTTGATCGGAATTCGTTACTGATTCAATGATGAATCGACAAAGCATCACTTTAACATAAGTTCACATTAACATACGCGTTTTCTTGAGACGCTTTCTAGTCATGGACTCATTTCCTTTCTTTTTTCTTTTCTTCTCGGCGGGTTTTGAACACATTAGACTTTGAATCGCGATTGTTCTATCTTTCCTATCATTTTGCTCTCGTTTGTTTTCACTAGGCCAAGTACAGTCTGAATATAGTCTTGAAAGTAAATTAGTTAAACTTCTCATTGCCTATTTAAATGGCTTCTGGGTGTACGTTTTTATCACCACGAAGAGCTAACAGAAGATCTGTATTGGCTTTTGGGTCGTTCATAAACCATGCGTTCTAAACCTTCGGGCTCACTCTCCCCCTCTCCTTTCAGTCGAGCAACTTCGCACCTTCTCCCTACGGTCGAACCGAAATATAGCCGCTACACCAAAACTAGGTGCAAAGAACCAACCAGACTGCCCTAGTGGATAAATCAGGAATACAGAAAGAAAAACGGAAAAAGAATTTCACGCCGGAGGAACGGAAACAAGCAAGCTAGGCACCTTTGAGTTCACGGGGTGAGGTGGGTGCGAAACTCGAGCAAAGCGAGAGGAGCGAAGGGTTAACTCATCGGGAAGCGGTAGGAGCAGATCGACCTATGACGGGTAAAAAGGCTTATAGCTGATTTTTTTCTAGAAGCTTGAGATCGTTCACTTTGCATCGGGGTTTTTTGACATCAGTCAATTTTAGTAGGCCAAGCAAGCCATGGTATCTTTCTTTTTTTCATAGTTGACTGTGCTTCGTGCCTCTTTTTGAGGGCATCTCAGTGATGAACAAGGAAGGCCGATGAAATCGTCTGCAAGGTCCCATCTAACGTGAGGGTACCTAAAATGCATTTATCGTTTGGCGTATTTGACCTTTCTTTGCCTCTGGTTAAGCCCCTTCTTACGTAAGACATCGTAAGCTCCTCGCCTTCCGCCAGAAAGCAAGGACAGCAAGATATGAAGCAGGACATGTCGTGCTCTCCCCGCCACCGCCTCCTCACCATCCTACGACTCTCCTCCTCCCTCCACCCCTGTGCGCCCTCCACCGTCGCCACTACCATCTTTTTTTTTACTAGCGGTAGTGATTTTCTCCTAGTAGTGGTAGTGATTTTCATATCTTGTTTTTTACTAGTGGTAGTGATTTTCTATTGGTAGTGGTACCAGATGGAGTGGTACGCTATCACTAGCATCTTGTAGTTGGTAGTGGTAACGTACCACTATCATTTGGTACCACTACCAACTATCAGGTGCTAGTGGTAGCGTTATACTGGTAGTGGTACCCGTGGGACCACTAGCGCACTGACGGAGTGGTAATTTTTGCAGGTGGTCAGAGCGAGTATGATTTAAGGATTTCGCCGGAGAAAGTCTGTCGGTAGGAAAGTCAGCCGGTCGGAGTGGCGGCTGGAAAAGGAAAAGAGAGATAGAAAGAGAGATAAATGTATTTATTGTATGAATTAAATTTAAAAATGCATGTATTTAACATGAGTTTTTAATTATCAATGTGTAATGAATAAGAAAAATTAATAAATAAATTAGTTTTTTTGTCGTACTCAAAATGCCCATTGGTTGTGAATCTGACAACCCCCTAGGGGAAGTGAGCATATCCCGCCCGGAATGGACATTTCTTTAAAGTTTTCATCCAACATATTGTATGAGTTTTATCTAAAATAAGAGTCCATATGTTGTGGTCTACACTCTGCAAATACAAATATGCAGTATAAGAACAATATTGAATTTTACTTTTTTTCAGCCTAAGAGGAGGAACATTTGACACTTGAGTGATTATGCAAAGTATTAAGTATGTGTATATAATATTTATGAGATATATTACTAATTAGTTAACTGGTTAATTTGATTTGATTGGTTAGGAGTGTTTGAAACTAAACCAAACCACCTAAATCAAACAAGCTAAAAAATTTAACCAAACCAAACTATTATCCAAATTAACAAAACCAAATTATCTATATATTATCCAAATTAACCACACCGTTTGAACACCCCTACGGCCTACCGCGAGCGGGAGGTTCCATAGTCAAACGCCTTAGTTAGACCCCAAATAGTTCAGTAAAAAAAAATAGACCCCAAATAGAACGGGCTTTCAGTGGCCCAACATTATAGGATCGTCAATACTCAATAGCAGTCCATGATAGATTTGAAACCAGGACCGAAATTTTGAAATTTATCATTATACTATCCTAAGTACAACGGACAATCACCCCGAAGGCTTCAGAGACCAAACAAACTAAGAACCGTTGGATCCACAATGCTCGAATACCAAACGTCAGATCATCTTCCAAAAAGAAAATAGAAGAGGCAAATAAAACAAGAGAGCGGGGGTTCTGAAAATTTCAAATCCACATCGCCAGCCCGCTCTCCCCCTCTCACATGTTTTCACTCCCCGCCCAGAGAAACCAAAGGAGATAGATCGGAGTCGGAAAGGAAGTCAAACCGAAGTGAGGATTCCGGCGGAGAGGCAGATAGAGGAGAGTGCTAACTGAGAGTGTTCCTGCGGAGAGTCTACAAGTAGCGAAGATTGCGTCGCCAGCTCCGTCTCCATCCCGTGCCGGTGGATCCAGCAGCAGAGCAGGAACTCGTCCGCCTTTCCTCTCTTCATTGGGGAAAACTGACGGAAGAATGTCCGGCCGCCAGGAGAAAGAGAAGGGCGTTAACGTTCAGGTCCTGCTTCGTTGCAGGTGAGAACTGAGAAGTGTTGGCCAGTTAGTTAGGGTTTTCCATTTTGTTGAAGTTGTTCTTTCGGATTTGTTTAATTTCCTTGGATTTGGACTCTCGTAACCATTCAAGTGTCGTCTGATTAGGCCGTTTAGTGACGATGAGCTGAGGAGCAATGCGCCACAAGTGGTGACTTGCAATGATTACCAGAGAGAAGTGGCGGTTTCGCAGAACATCGCCGGGAAGCATATCGACCGAGTTTTCACTTTCGACAAGGTAATATTTGCTAGTAATAATTGAACAGAATGTTGACGGGCTGTTCCCAGGATTAGAGTTTGCATTTACTTGTTGGATACTGGTACTTGCCAGTTTAAATTGATGCAACGATGTGGAGAGTATCAAATTAAAATGGGGATTAGGTTTCAGGTTCAAAGAGATTTGAATTAATGTGATTGCACTTTATTCGTTGTTAGATAAATCTCTTCTGATTTTATAGGTAGTGCCAGCAGTCCCTCTTTGATTGAGTGTTCACCTTTGAGTTTGGCGCTCTGCCTGGACTTAAAAGTTCGTATCCTGATTGTTGATTGTGTCGTTTTCAGGTCTTTGGTCCTTCAGCTCAGCAAAGAGATCTCTATGACCAGGCAGTAGTACCGATTGTAAACGAAGTTCTGGAAGGTTTTAACTGTACCATTTTTGCATATGGTCAAACTGGTACAGGTAAGACTTACACCATGGAGGGTGAATGCAAAAGGGCAAAGGTACTGTTATATCAATGCGTTTCCAGTGACTTTTGTTTGAACGGTCTCTCTCTTTATCTTTAAACTTACAGTTGTGCTTTTGGTTGATATGGTAAGGTTTGAATTATTGATATATCATTCTTTGCCTTGTCGCTCTAATTTTTAAAACTGAACAGAGTGGGCTTAATGGAGAACTTCCCCAAGAAGCAGGGGTTATTCCTAGAGCCGTGAAGCAAATTTTTGATACACTTGAAGGGCAGAATGCTGAATACAGTGTGAAAGTTACTTTCTTGGAGCTTTACAACGAGGAAATCACTGATTTGCTTGCCCCAGAAGAAATTTCTAAGGTAGCTTTTGAAGAGAAGCAAAAGAAGCCCTTGCCACTTATGGAGGATGGGAAAGGTGGAGTTCTTGTTAGAGGTCTGGAAGAAGAAATAGTGACAAGTGCAAGTGAGATATTCACTCTTCTGGAAAGAGGTTCCTCAAAACGCAGAACTGCTGAGACTCTGCTGAACAAGCAATCAAGGTAAAAGTGATTCTTGGCTGGCGTTTCATTGACATCATGTTTAACTCTACACTCTGCAGTCATATTGAGGGCCTGTCTTCTGCTACAGTCGTTCGCATTCTCTCTTTTCGATAACAATCCACATCAAAGAACCGACACCGGAGGGTGAGGAACTAATCAAATGTGGGAAATTGAATTTGGTGGATCTGGCTGGCTCAGAAAATATTTCTCGGTCTGGTGCCAGAGAGGTATGTTTTCTCGTTCATGTGATGATCTTTTTCAGGTTGACTTCATTCTGAAATTGATTATTGAATACACGATTTCCCACTAGGGCCGTGCCAGGGAAGCTGGTGAAATCAACAAAAGTTTGCTTACACTGGGTCGAGTCATCAGTGCTCTTGTGGAGCATCTGGGCCATATTCCATATAGGTTTGAGTTGTTTAGTCTGTGCTAGTCTGAATAATGCTACTATTTCATTTTCTTCTAACTCTTATCTGTGACGCAATTTTCAGGGACAGCAAGCTCACAAGATTGCTTCGTGATTCGCTCGGGGGAAGAACAAAAACCTGCATTATAGCTACTGTTTCCCCTGCTGTTCACTGTTTGGAAGAGACATTGAGTACACTGGATTATGCACACCGGGCCAAGCATATCAAGAATAAGCCTGAGGTTTGGTTCAACCTTTGTAATACATTATCGGATACTCAACATTTAAATGTTTTGTTCCTGTGTAAGCTGAGCTGCAAAATGTTATGTGTAGGTGAACCAAAAAATGATGAAATCAACCCTTCTCAAGGATCTTCAAGGTGAAATTGATAGACTGAAGGCAGGTGAGAAGGTTTCGTACTGCGTAGTATTACAAATAGTATTGTGATCAATTTCCTGCTTTTTTTCTAGTTTTATTGACCTGGCAACAAATGTGTCATCTTTGCAGAGGTTTATGCTGCCCGTGAAAAGAATGGTGTGTACATCCCCAAGGAACGATACTATCAAGAGGAGTCAGAAAGGAAGGTATTTATCCAATTGCACTATGAATTTTTCTTTCTCGTGTCTGATGATTTGTATGTGATACATAGTTGAAAATCCGTTTAGTTTTACTATTCCTGTAGTCTGTTTTTGCGGTAGTCTCAGGTTTTGTGTTGGTATTCTGTTTATTTGTAGGAAATGGCTGATCAGATTGAACAAATGGGGCTCACTATAGAAACTCATGAAAAGGTCTGTGAAGAACTCCTTTTCAATTGCTATAGTAATATCAAATTTTCAATTGCTGTTGAAAAACCTCTGATTGTTACACCATTTATTTCTGTGTCCTCTCCTTTCTATTCTCTGGACAGCAACTTGAGGAATTGCAAGAGAAGTATGATGTACAAGTTCGGCATTGTTCTGATCTAAGTACCAAACTTGCTCACACAGAGGTATTCTGCTGTTCTTGTGCTGCCATGTCTATAAACAAACATTTTTAAGCAGGTTCAAATGAATTGTATTGTACCTGCAGAGAAACTTGCTGGAAACAAGCAGATTGCTTGCTAATACTGAGGAAGAACTGAAGAAGTGCCGTTACACACTGAACGAAAGGGATTTTGTCATTTCTGAACAAAGAAAAGCTGGTACAGTTGATTGGTTATGCATTGTCGTATGTTCATCGTTTCTATGAACCACATTAACAAACATTGTTATTCTAAATGTTGCGTATAGAAAATGCTTTGACCCAGCAAGCATGTGCTTTGCGGTCTGACTTAGAGAAAGCTCTGAAAGACAATGCTTCATTGTTTGACAAGATTGGTAGGCAGCTCATGACTTACAAGAATAGCTACTTTTCTTATGTCCTCAAACATGCTCACTAATGTAGTCTATGTACAGGTAGGGAAGACCAACTGCATTCAGAGAATAGATCAGTAGTCAACAGTTTCCAGTCCGAGCTCTCTCAGCAGATTGGTTGTCTTCGTAGCATAGTTGCTAACTCTATGTCGCAGCAGGATGAGCATCTGCAGTGTGTTGACAAACTCTGTCATTCTTTTATGCAGACCCATGACAAGGTACTGAAAGGACGTATGAGAAAATATTTAATGATTCATCTATAATTTTGTCTAATACTTGGTCTGTGTAGGCGGTCAAGAAGATGAAGAAGAAATTGACAAACACGAGGACAGTATACGCGTCCCACATTGAAGCGTTGCAAAATGTGGTTCGTCTGCACAAGTCAAATTCTATTGCTAGCCTGGATGAGATGTCAACTTTGGCTTCCTCCAATGCACAGTCTATTGAAGATGTAAGAGTCTTTTCCCTTTAACCTTTACTTCAGTTCTAGTTGTCTTTTCATATTTCAGGTTTGGGTTGTAATTGCCTCATTTTGATTCAGTATCTAGCTTCAGAGGGTGTCCAAGCAGCTGCAGTATTTGATGACCTCCGGAACGCTCTCTCAGCTCACCAGGGTGAAATGGCCATTTTCGCAAGGGAGCTACGCCAGGTTCTGATCCTTTTTTTCCACACGTCCACGAGTGACAAACAATTTAACACTTGTGTACCTAGAGATTTCTATCCGGACTTGGGGTTTGATTGCTTGGATATTCATTTGACTTGGATGACAGAGGTTCAACTCAAGTAGTGAGCAAACAAAGCAGATTTCAGATTACACTGATCGATTTCTTTGCAAACTGATGGACCAATCCCAAACTATCCAAAATCATGTGACGGGAGTTGACAACATCCAAATGAACAGCATTGCTGATTTCCAGAAAGCTTATGAGGTACGACTGAATAGCAAGTTAGTGGTTGATTTATGTTTTACTTCTCTATGAACATCATCCCCATGCATTCTATGTTCTGCAGGAACAATGTAAATCTGACGCGGATAAGCTTGTTGCCGATATCAGCAATCTTCTTTCTAATCACATTCTCCGTCAAAAGGAGCTGGTGAATACAAGGCTTGATGTTCTCAGAGAAGCTGCCGTTGAAAACCGGGCATTTATGGATGGCCAAGTCTCCTCATTGGAGAATATTACCACTGAAGCGAAACGAAAATGGAAAGAGTTTTGCGTCCAAGCTGGAAGTGAAGCCAAGGATGGTGCAGATTATTCTGCTGCAAAACATTGTCGCATGGAGATACTCCTCCAACAAAGGTACTAGCTTCTTCTTCTTTGTGCACCTTCTCTATTTCTTTCCCCACTGTTTTGATGCTTAGCATTTGGCGACCCTGTAGCGTGACCAATGCCGAATCAGCTTTCCAGCACTGCAAAAAGACTCGCGACTCTGTGAACGAAATGTGCACCGAGCATGTCTCGTCTTTGTCTACCCTCGTCAGGTAATAAGCACTCTGCTCCATTTAGGCTCCCATCATTATGTAGAGCTCCGGAGTCCCCCCGAATTTCTCACAATTGCTGTTTCATGTTGTAGAGATGCAACTGAAAACATCGAGCAACATGATGCTGAGATTGATTCAGCAAGGACAGCAGCCGAGCAAGATGTAGCAACGAATAGCCAAGACATTCTTCAGCACATTGATGGTTTGTGTTTTTGATCTCGTCTTATAAGTTCTCATTCCATAAGCAACATCACCTGCATTATCCACAATTTGATGAAGAAAAGAGACTTTATATTCTTTGTTCGTTGCACGGTGCAGGTATGTCAGTACAAGAACGTGAATCAGTTTCGGGCATAATGACAACTGTCGAAGAACACACGAAAACACTGCAGACTTTCCGGGAAGATCACTTTGGTCAAGCTGCGGTCATGGAGAACAAATCACAAGAAACCTTCCAGCAACGCTTTATGGTAAGTACTTTTGTCCGAACTAAATCCCATGTGACGTCCCGGTTCAAGACCAGTGGTATTACTACTGGACCAATCCTCTTTGCCAATTATAATTCGTGATTCATCATTCGTTGTGTTGACGCAGGATTATGATCCAACGGGGACGACTCCGATGAGGACGGAGCCGGAGGTTCCGAGCAAAGGGACAATCGAATCGCTAAGAGCAATGCCGATGGAAGCATTGGTGGAGGAATTCCGAGAGAACAACTCATACGACTCGTTTGAGGTGAAGGAACTCAAACCTTCTCTTATCCCACGCCCGCCCCTGGCCCAACTCAATTAGCGGGGAAAAGAAACAACTACATTCTGCCGCTCATCTTTGTTCTTAATATACACCTTCCCGTTTGATGGTTAAGTTTGCAGCTTTTTGCTTGTACCATTGTTACGCACTCTCTGTCGTAGTCAGTCAGCTAGCTGTTAAGTTTCTGTTTTGTGGGTGTATTGGCTGTAATGAATGAATACATCCCTTCTCGGGATTTAAGTCACTTTTCCTGTCTTAGTGTAAGAATATGTGTAAAGAGGCTAAAAATCTGGAGACGACGGACGGCCTCTGCTATACTATTATGTTTATGTATAGCATCGTTTTTGCTCGGAAAGATAGGCAGGAAATGTTGTTTATTTGTTTTTATTTTCAGTGTGAACTACGGGAAGGTTGTGACTTGTGAGTTTCTGGGACTTGGATTAGGTCAAGTGATAATACATAGGAGTAAACAGGTGATGGAGCAAATAGTTTTTTTTTATTATAATAAAGTTCATCTTTTATTCCACTTCCAACTCGAAAAAAACGAGATTACACTTTATCAAAGGAAATCCGAAATTAGGTCAAGAATACTAATCCAGTTAACAGGGAGAGTAGCTCTAGCAAGAGATCGTGCAACCCAATTAACTCTAACATTGACAGCACGTGCTACTGCTTTGACCTTCACTTGCAGGTTCGATCTTAAGATTGAGACCATAGATCCAATCCAGGTTGCACCTCGCCAAGGCCAATTTCTTGGCTCATCCGAGAGCGCTTTGACAACCAGCTGGCAATCAGACTGGACAACACATTCCGTGCCATATTCTTGGGCTAATTTGAGACCTTCCAAAAGAGCTTTTGCTTCGGCTTAGAGTGGGGTGGAACAAAGGAGAGTGTCAGCTCACCCATCACACACTTGTCCATGGTGGTTAGTGACCACGACACCATATGCCGCCGGCTGGGAGTCGTTTAAGAACGATCCATCACAGTGAATCACAAAATTGTAATTGCTTGGTGGTGGAGAATTGAGTGATTGGGCTCCCCTGAGCTGAGTAGAAGGAGAGTCATTGGGGGGACTCCTCGGGCAATTAGCCCATTCCGTGAATTCCTTGTAAGTTCTCAAAATAACGTTCGGATGCCAAGGGATCCGATTCTTGAACACACATTCATTTCTAGTCGTCCAGATATTCCAACAAAGGAAAATAACATGAGTGAGTGCTCCTCGTTGGATAGAATCCTTGAGAAGGTACAGCCAGTCGAAGAAAGCAGTATACTGAGCTGGCAACGGGAGGTTGGGGAAGATAACTTCCCATGATGGAGCAAATAGTTGAAGGGGAGAAAATGGACTCTTTCCAGGTCCTGAATAGACTTCTAAGCATGCTACAACAACTTGACCGTGGAGCTGGGCAAGTACGGCATCAGGGTCAACACCATTTCTCCCTATGCAGTGGCCACTCCCATGGTCACACAAGCGGCATGCAAATGGGCAAGAATGTGTTAAACAATCAAATTTGCATATAGAAAAGTAGAGACAAAGCATGAGATTTAGTATGGTTCGACAAGAGAGGCTTTAATTCACTCTCTACGATAGTTAACGTTGCTAGTGTTTCTTATTATTCAAATTGCCATAAACCCTAAATCAGGGATATATAGCTAACATTATCATGCACAACCCCTAACCACTTATGTGTGTACACCATCATTCCTCCAGCCCCCATATTCCGCCAAATGTCAATTCAATCCCTCATCATAACTATATTTACAAAATACATTTCACTACCCCTCAAACTGATGGTGATTGATGCAACATCAGTTTGTGTGAAAGAAACTAATGCCGACTAGTAGAAACAACTTTGGTAAGGAGATTTGCAGGTTGCTCGTCTGTTGTCAAGTAGTGTAGCTGAAAAGAAAAATAACTATATTGCTCTATTTTTTTCAAGAGTCTGAGCTCCACCTGAAGGAACTCAACTTGGAGTTAGATTGGAATAAGATAAAAACCTGGACACTAAGTCTCAAAGGGTAAGCCACCTTTGAGCCGAGAAATAAACCCATAAGACCGAGCTCGATTAACAAAACATCATGTGCACGTGTGTCTCTCCCTGCTCTTTTTTACTATGTGTATACATTTAAATAGAAACCTTACCTTGAAGGTTAAAGACGACTCGATAAGGGCTAAAGCCCATCTCGTGATATATTAGGGCTCTATTGATGAGTCAAGCACAACATTCTAGTCCATACGACCAGTTTGTTATTACTCGTGTTTATTTATAATATTATTTTATAAGATTATTTGTTTGTAAATTGTATTTTGCAGAAGCAACACTAGAAGCACTTTTTCTTTTTTGATAATCAGACCTAAAGTTTATTAATGCCTTATGGGCTCATAATCCAAAATTAGTAACAGAAAAACTGGCGGTCGAGATACCCAACATTCCTAGGTGTCCCAATTACATTTTGTGTGGGCCATGAGATGGGCCGCTCTATTTCCTTCTCTTTTCACAAAGCTCCACTGGGTCGTTGGGGTAAGCAACCGGTTCGGTAAACCCGAACCGAAACCAAATTAAACCAAACTGAAATCGAATTAATGCTATTCGGTTCGGAATTCGAAAGGAAAATATGAATAGTTTGGAGATTAGGGTTCTTTCAACCGAACCGAATTTCCGACCGAAAAATCAAAATACTATAATTGCAAGCTCCAAATGGTGGATTTTTATGTTTGTAGTTGTTTTTAGATTTAAATATTTGAAAAGTTTATGACTTATGTGTTGAAAAGTTTGATTTATCATTGATGATGCATATAATTGCTATAATTTAAAAAGACTTAAATGGCTATGTGGCTCCTGAACTATACTATGTTTCCTATTGAGGCCCCTGAACTATTAATGTTCCTATGGTAGTCCCTAGTTTATTTAACTTTTCCTAAAGAAGCCCCTTCCGTTACTCTGCTGTTAAAATTTCATTAAAATGGGTCCTACGTTGCTAATTAGGCGCTGATTGAGCGTCCATTCAACATAAATTTACCCTAAGTGACCAAATTACCCAAACCTAATTTAACCTACGATTTCCCCTTCTTATGCTTTCTAATTATTGAACATATAGTTATTACGTTCATTCCAAATAGTCCAGAGAATCATACCTAGTTGACTTAGAGTGTCATCATGCACCCTTTCCATTACCTCGCAGAACCAGCTGCCAGTAGATAGATGGGGTTCTAGCTCAAATTGAGGTCCGAAGCTTGTAGGTCGCCATATCCTGGAAGCCAACTGACACTCTTTGAAGTGTGGTTCTGGGTATCCTCCAATTTGCAAAATGGGCACTCTGTAGGGGCGTCCTTCTTTAGCTTTTCTATGTTCTTCCCCGTAGACAAGATGTTGTGTATTAGCCTCCATAAGAATATCTTAATCTTGGGTGGGATCACCAGCTTCCAAAGCCGCTTCCAATTCATAGGGTAATAGACCTAAGTTTCTGCACTCAAAGTTTCCATCTCATCATATGCATTTGGTTATTCTTCCTCAATGATTAGGGGGTTGTTGTTTAGCTCTTTGTAAAACAGCTTGTAGACTCTTTTAACAGAATATAGTCCAGTCTTTTCGAGGGCCCATACCTTTGTATCTGGTATTGAATGGCGTGGGATTGGAATTCCCTCAATCCAGGCTTTGTCGATTTGGTTGAAGTAGTGTTGTAGAAGAGGCTTCTTCTATTGTTTGAGGTTGTGATCGATAAGATCAATTACTCTCCCCAGATTATCCTCTGTTGGTCTAGGAGTAGTAATTTTAAAGCCTGCATCTTTAACTCCTGCCACCCATCTATCCTCCCAAATGTCCACTTGTGTCCCATCCCCGATTCTCCATCTGATTCCTTTTTGAATAAGGTTTTGAGCTGCCATGATACATCTCCAAGTGTAACTAGGGTTTGTTCCCACCTGTGCCTGTGGTACATCGCAATTTGGATAGTATTTTGCTTTTAGAACCCTTGGTGCCAAAGAATATGGATTGAGAATTAACTTCCAGATTTGCTTCCCTAACAATGCAAGGTTGAAAGCTCTCAGATTTTTGAATCCCATACCCCCTTCTACTTTTGGTTTGCAGACCTCCTTCCATGCTTTCCCAGGCATTCTTTTTTACTCTTTTTGTTGGCCCCACCAGAAGCTTGAGATGGATTTTCTAATTTCATCGAGAACACTCTTTGGGATTAGGAACATAGACATAGAGTAGGTAGTTTTGCTTTGGGAAAGCTTTGATAAGGACTTCTTTAGCAGCAATGGATAGAGAATGGCTCTTCCAAAGTTTGACCTTTTTTATGACTCTATCCACTAGTGCCCTAAAAGTAGTCTTCTTCTACCTTCTAATTTTAGTGAGGAGACCTAGGTATTTTGCATGCTCTGATACCTGCTTCATCTCCAAAATTGACACCAACTAGTTTCTCCGTTATGCTGTTACACTCAGACTAAAGCTTATTTATGATTTTTGCAGATTGACCATCTGCCCTGATTCCGGCTCATAGGTCTTCAAAATTTCTATCAAGACATCACATTCCTGGGGTGTAGCTCGCGTAAAGAAGATGATGTCGTCTGCAAACAAGAGGTGATAGACTGATGGTCCTCGAACTGAAGCTTTTAGACCATGTATCCTACCATCCCTTGCTGCTTTAGTCATTAGTGTTGCAAGTCCCTCTACATAGAATAGGAATAAGTAAGGAGATATAAGATCCCCTTGTCTTAGTCCACGTTCTGGTTTGAAAGTTTCAGTCTGGTGTCCATTAACTAGTACTTAGTAGGTAACAGTCGAAACACAATTCATTACTAGCTTGACCCATTGTTCTGCAAGACCTAGCTTGAGCATGATTGCCTCAAGAAGTCTACTCTACTCTGTCGTAGGCTTTAGAAATGTCTAATTTAGCTTCCATTAGACCCTTCTTGACCTTAGTTTTCTGCTTCATAGTATGGAATCGCTCGAAAGTCACTTATACATTGTCTGTGATGTATCTCCCTAGGACAAAGGCACTCTGGGGTTCATCGATAATTCGATTCAGCAGTCCCTTTAGTTTGTTTGCTATTACTTTCGAGATGATCTTGTAGATCACCTTGCAGAGGCTTATAGGTCTAAAGTCTAGGGGGTTTCTGGTTGTTTCTTCTTTGGTATCAAAGTTATTAGTGTATGGTTGAGCTGTTGTGGGAATTCTCCACACTCCAAATAACTCTTGATTTCCTCCTTTATTAATGGTCCGACAACATCCCAATTTCTTTGAAAAATCTGGCTTACATGCCATCCGCCCCAGGAGCCTTGTTTGGTCCCATTTGTTTCAGGGCTAACCAAATTTCTTTATCTGGGTAGGGTCTTAGAAGTTCCTGATTCATTTCTGACGTTACTTTGGGAGTAACTGCTGAAAGAATCCCGCTCTGTTCTGGTCGAGGCCCTGCTTTGAATAAAGTCTGTAAGTACTGTCTCAAATAGTTACTAACCTCTTGTTGCCCCATGAAAACCTGGCCAATCTCATTCCGTAGTTTCCTTATGGTATTCTTTCGTCTTCTTTCTGAAGCTTTTCGATGAAAATATCCCGTATTGCAGTCACCTTTTTTGAGCCAATCAGCTCGCGATTGTTGCTTCCACTTCATCTTCTCTTGGAGGATAATATCATTCAGCTCCTGCTCAATTACTCTTCTCTGGATCTGAACGACTTTTGTCCTTTTTCTCTTCTCTAAGACTCGATGAGCCTTCTCTACCCGTTTACTTCTTTCTTTCAGAGAACCAAAAGCAGTTTGGCTCCAACTTTTGAGTCTATTCTCCCATTTTTTGATTCTATCAATTATCCCCAGACTTGGGTGAGCTAGCCACTCTTCTTTAATTACTACCCCACAATCTTCGTGTCTTTCCCAGTATGGTTCGTATATGAAGTTCCATACCCACGTAATCTCTTCCTCTTCCAAGTTTAGTTTTACCTTGATGGGAATGTGGCCAGAACCACACCTCTCCAAGTGATTGACTCGCATTAGAGGGAAGAAATCCAACCATTGTTTATTACCGACTGCTCTATCAAGTCGTTCCTCGGTGTAGTCTTCTCCTGATTTGTTATTCTCCAAGGGAAGGGTCTCCCATAGAAACCACAATCCTCTAGATCGCAGGATTCCAATGTTTGTCGAAACATTTTCATTTCCTTTATATCAGGCCATCTAGTGCCACTTTTTTCAAGATAGTCCGTTTTTGAGGTTGAAGTCACCCATAACTAGCCATGGCATCTGGACCTTTCGGTGTAAATCAGCCAGTAATTCACCCATTTTTTTATGCTTGTTATGTTTTTCTGGCCATCACAAAATTCCCCGTTAGTCTCCACTCGCTGTCAAGGGATGACATTCTTGCCTTTGCATCAATGAAATGGGTATCCGCATTCTTGATTTCAATCTGGACGTCTTGCTTCCACATCATGAGAAGACCCCCTGCTCTATTGATCCCTGCATCTATCCCTTTGCCATCGAAATAGCAAAATTCTTTGATTTTTTGTTTGCACTCCTTCTCATACTGTCGTGTTTCCATAAGGAACACAACGCCATTATTTACTTGGGAAGAAGATTCTTCACCTTTTCAACTGTCGGGGTATTCCCGAGCCCCTGATAGTTGTAACTTAATAAACTCATTGGGCTGGGCAACCTTGCTTCTTTGCAGGGTCTGCCTCACCGCCAACCAATTTCTTTGATTGTTGTACTTATTCAGTTACTCGAGAATCTAGGAAGAAAAGAGTCTTAGCTCTCTTTAGAGTCTTGTCCTCTTTGTCTCCCTCTAGTGTAGTCCCACTTGGTAATTCTATATTCCGTTTCTGAGGTGTGAGGTGTGAGGTGTAAGTGGGGAGTTCCTCTTACTCGTTCTTTCTCCTGTCTTTTCCAAACTTTCCCTGTCTTTCTCCTTTGGTTTTGCTCATTGTCTTTGCTTGCAGTAAACATCTTCACAACTCCTGCCTTTCTTGTAATACTCTTACGATTATTGCCATCCTAAAAAGTTTCGTTGTCAACCCCTTGTTGTTGTGTGACATCATTTTTAAGAGTCTCATGTTCTTGTTGGGGTTGGGGCACTGTATCCTTGCATATATTCATAGGTACAGGTTGTGCATCTTTCACCTTTTATTCGATTCACCATCAGTCTGTTTATCATCCTTAGCTAGCTCGACATCCTTAACTGAGTCTGAACTAGGGATGGCAAAAATATCCGTAACCGTGGATATCCACCCGAATCCGGCCTAATCGGGTAGGATAAAACCCGAACCCGAAAGACATTTAGTGGGTACGGGTAAAACCCGAACCCGAATATTGTGGGTAATGGGTGGGCATGGATTTCTCACTATCCAACCCGAACCCGCCCGATTATACAAATGCATATGTATTTTCTCTAGATATAATCATTATTTTTCTCTAACTTATTTTATATTTAGCATATAAGTATAATATTTTCATGAAATTGTGTTGTTTTAATTAATTTTCTTCATTCTAGTGAATTCTTGTCGTACTTTTCCTCTTACGTAATGTGAGAATTCGTGTGAATGTTAACATATTGGTTGAAGTTATGAAGAGAAATGATTACCCATGGATAACCGTGGATACCCGAAACCCGAACGGGTATGGGCATGGTTTTGATTTTCTACCAATTTCACATGTGAGTATGGGTATGGGTAAAACCCGAACTACTTTGGGTAGGGTAACGGATATGCACTATCCGCCCCCGACCCGACCCATTGCCATCCCTAGTCTGAACCAGAGCTTTCCATGTCGAATTTCCTTCTAAGTTGTCACCAAATGTCTGCTTCCTCCTTCTTTGCTTTGTGTGACAACCAATTCCTCGGGGCCGGGGGTGCAGTTCTCATGTTGAAGCTGTATGGGTCAACAGGCAGTTGTGAAGGTTGGGGACATTTAACCCACATGCCCTATCCTACCATAGGAATGGCAGAACATAGAGAGTTTCTCGTATTTAATTAGAAATTCTTTTAGTTCTCCATCAACACTGAGTTTGATTTTTTTTCCTGAGTGGATTATTGATGGAGATGCTAACTCTGAGAAGTAAAAAGTCATCCCACATTTTATCTGAGCTATCATCAAAGAACACAAACTCTCTAACCCTGTTTCCAATTTTTTCTCCCATAGATTGTGTTCTAAGCTCCGCCGGAAAGTCTTTAACTTGTATCCATATCTCCATTTTATGCAGGTCTGCTGGAGTTGGTTTCTTAATCCACCAGCTAGCCATAAATAACATAACGCTATGCTCATAGTGCCAAGGTTCGCCATAGCACACCTTATTTCGATCATCCATCTCTAGGAATTGAAAAGCAAAGAGGTTATGACCTAAATCTGTTATGTGGTACCCTTTCTTCAATCCCCACGCCTTTGTTAGCTCGATTTTCATTGATTGAATATTTGGTTCTTTGTCTGATACCAGTCTTCCAACTAGTCCCAAGTGGCGGATCGCCTCCATTCTGACCACATCAACATCTTCATATTCAGCCTCTAATGGTTCCTCATCGTCCTCTAGAAGGGTAATCTGGTTGTGTCGCTCTTCAAGTCCGCCAGTGGGATTGAACTCTTCATTGGCAGCCTTCTTAAGGGCTGCTTCTTCATCTTTATTGTTTGTGGATGCCATTGCGGATCTACCTTGTATAGAATCCACGCTGTATACCTTGGATTATACGCTACAGAAAACTTGTCTTCACAAAGTAGGGTTTGTGATGGAAATACGTCGCCAAGTCTTCTCTACAAGCAGTGATAGCACTTGTTAGGAAGCCCCTGATGTATTTCTTATAGCTGTATTTCGTGTGGTGTTTTCTAGATCCGATTTGCGTCGCCGAGTTGTAATAGGAAAACCTATGGTTTCCGCCGCCAAGTCACACTCTCTCTAGACGAGAGAAAAGCCCGTAAAGCAAGGGTTTCCTCAATTAGAGCCTAATCCAGAAACTCTATTAGAAGCACTTCAATCCCACTTGGTTATTCGAAACACTATATGAAATCAGAGTTGCGTGAAATGAGGATGATTCACTTGAAACCACTACAAGAAAACTAAAAGTATTAACTCTAGCCCTAAATAATATCGAGACAAATCTACACATATTATAATACACCGAAGGAAAAAACGGGAGCCCCATTTCAAATTTCTTGCAACGAGAGTGAAAGTAGATGGACATTTTGCTCTTCGCAATTACTTTTTTTATTCATTAAAAAGACACATACTAGACAAATCTATCTCTACACATATTATAATACACCGAAGGGAAAAACGAGAGCCCCATTTCAAATTTCTTGCAACGAGAGTGAAAGTAGGAAGGACATTTTGGTCTTCACACATTAAAAAGACACAAACTGGGATTCGAACCATGACCATTTTAAAGAAGAACAAGGATCATAACCAATCACACTAAGTACATTTGTTGTATCTTTTTAAATTAAAAACATATAATAGCAGGGAGGAAAAACTCTTCCCCCATTTCAAATTCCCTGCTCCAGGAGTGTTTGTAGAAATGGTAGAATAAAGAGTGTCAATTTTTTTCTCTTTCCTCTGTGAAACGGGCCAACTTACCGTACACATGCAGATTTAAACAGGTCCAGGAGTGTCAAATTTTTTCTTTAATCTCTTTTATTTCTCCGTGGTAATAAAATATATATGAAAAGACAAAAAAAAATACTCCTTTTTATTTCTAAAAATAAAAAATTTAACAATAAACTAATGCATGGTATCTAATGGGCTAACCGCTAATCATAAAATAAAAGAGTTGAATGGGCCTGACCTACACGGGATTTGGCCATCAAGTAAAACAAATTAACATCATTGGTTTGTCATTCTAAAAACGTTTGTAATAAGTGTAGAATAGGGAGTGTCAATTTTTTTCTCTTTCCTTTGTGGAACGGGCCAACTTACTGTACACATGCATATTTAAATGGGTCTAGGAGTGTCAATTTTTTTCTTTAATCTCTTTTATTTCTCCGTGGTGATAAAATATATATGAAAAGGAAAAAAATACTCTTTTTTATTGCTAACAATAAACTAATGCATGGTATCTAATGGCTAATCGCTAACCATATTGTTTTACAAGGTAACAGGTACTTGATTTTGATTGATAAGACCGATTTTTGATTTGTTGCATCATTCATGTCTCTTTCCTGCTAAAATTCATTATTTTTATCACGTGTTTCCCATCGCTAGTTACTTATAGAAAGCAACTACCACAAATTAATTAATTACAAAAAAAATTAAAGCGCAGTGCATGACATGATTCGTTTGAAAATGGAATTGGAAGGGTTGTGGAGCAAATGAATTAACAAAAAATAATGAGAAATAATTATAATTAAGGATATAAGTCTATTTATTCACCCGATAAAAAGATTGGGCCTTTTCTATTCAACTTCAGTAGGGCTCATTGTAAAAAAAAAAAAAAACTTCAATAGGGTTTCTCTCATTATCCCTCTGCCGACTCTAGAATAACGCCGTCGCTCCACAGATGAACTCAATGTTGTTGTTTGCTTGTGGCTATTGGTTCTCCCTTTCAGCAGGCTAGCAATTGTGGACTAGGGATAAGAGTTAGCGGCCAATCTGCTGGCTTCGGATACCAAGGTTTCCTAGCCGAAGTTGCGACGTTCGAAAGGATTAGAGAGTCGGCAGCGTGAAGGTTACATTGTAAACTCTAGTCTTTGCAATGGCACGATCTTCTACAGGGTATGTTGTTCTTCACCCCTTCGTTAAATAAAACCAGTAATCTCGTCATATGAATCTGTTAAGTTTCATCGGTAGAATAATATTGAATCCAGAACGATTCACAGATCCCAAATCTGTAAGTATTATATTGAATCTGGAACCACGACTTGTTGTTTCTGTTGTTTCCAAAGAAGGAAGAATCCCTAACAAAACCACGAGGTAAAGTAGCCACCATATATTCTCTATTGTTGAACTGTTCCTATTCTTTTTATGAATGATTTGGATAAAAAACTACATTTGTGTGCTAATGTTTAGGTTCAAAAGAATTACAATTAAATTTCTTGCGGACAAAGATGATGCTTGATAGTATCAAGTACATGAAGAGAAGAGTTCTAGCACATCAGTAATAGCAATGGCAAGAGTGGAGAAGCAAGCTACTCACGTGATCAAGAGGGAGAGATGAAGAGCTTGATACTTTCTCATTGTATACATTTTAATAATTAAGAATGAAATTATCATTTATTCGAATTTGATTATTCCTCTTCGACTTATATGTATTTTAAGAATAATGTAATCATTCATGTGCTTAATTTATTCAATAATTTTTTTTATCTTTGTTAATTGAATAGAATATCAAATTATTAGAGGCAATTATGAAAATATATTATATGCATCTAAAAGCTCAATAACAATCAAATATTTGTCTCAAAAAGTATTCAATAGACTCAAATATTTGACACTATAGGGTATTAAAAAGACAAATACAATTGTCTCAGAAACTAATATCGAGAGTCAAATATATTTGACTCTAAAAGTAAATCAGAATGAAAATAACAAGCTTTTATAATTAGAAACACTATCAAATAAATTTGCGTCCAATTTCTTAATTAGTAACATATATTATTTGCTTCTATGGGGCTGTTTCTAAAAGGAATTAAATACAGAGGCGTCCGATGCAAATAATGCATTTGCTTGAAAAGATATACTGAAACAAATAAATATCATTTCGAGTCAAATAACCTCTGTTTCTAAAACAAAGTTTTTGTTGTAGTGAACACTTCAACCCCACTTGGTTACTTGAAACCAGGAATCTTTTTTTATTTCAATAACCACTTCTATTATGATGACAAGCGATTTAAGATACAAGTGTATTACCCTTTAAAAGTCAGAACGAGATTTGGAATAGGAAATCACTATTCACAAGGATTGACAAAAGAGAAATAGCAGAAGGTTCGAGTTTGGCTTTGTGACGACGTATATAACCGACATCTCTTACCTATCAGTCAAAGTAGTATTCATCATTGAAGTAGTGAAGCAGTATCCTGACAGGTTCCCAACTCTCCCAATAGCTTTCCCCTGAACGAACCAATACGCTCTTCTTCTTCTTCTTCTTCTTCTTCTTCTCATTATTAACCCGAGCTACTGAGCTAGCCATCATTTCCAGCTGCGTGTTCTTTCTTTTTCTCTGTGTTCTGATCAGTTGCATGAAACTGATCAAGCAAACCCATAGGCTGGCTATCAATCTGCCTTTTTTTCCTGTCACCGTGATATGTTGATTTGGAACTGATCATAATGGACAATTGTAGGGATGACTTAAATGGACAATTGTAGGCCCCCTAGGAATATCCGATAAAATGACACTTGTGATAATTGATGATTTACCAGTTACCACAGAGACGAACTTCCCCGATTGAATTATAAAGTGAATTAAAAACGTTTGATTAAAATAAATGCATTGCAAAAATCATGTTTCTACTGACATTTTTGCGGGAGCAAATCAGATGGAATAACAAGATATGTATAATCTTGTGCATAACCACTAGCTATTAACTTTTTTCAAAACATATCTAATTCGTTTTTAACTCTATTTTTTACACAAAGAATCTAATTAATTGTACTCTACAAGACAATATTCATTTTGATAATAGATGAAACCAAAAAAAAAAAAAGAATTAATGCTTTGGTTACAGGACCTTAACACTATTCTCGACTAATGCATTTTTTTCTTTGTAAATTTTATGGATAAATAAAAGGTTAATATCTTATTATGGCCCGAACTATACATTAATAATCAACTTTAGCCCGTAGTTTCAGAAATTGCTATCCTGACCTCAACTATAAACCATATATACTCAATTTGCTAGACACATGGTTTGACCGTAATTTAGACGGTCAACGGTCCAGTTCACTGCCATGTCAGCACAAAATTAAAAATATTCAAAGACCACATCCGGAAATCGTGGAAAAAGCGGCGATTAGGGGTTTGACAAAATTTTCATAAAACTGTAGCAGTGAGTTCCATACTTCTTTGATCTGAATATGATGACAAGTGAGAGTTTATAGAGCAGATGTAATCTATTCCGCGCCTCGTTTTGTTGATCTAGCATGTATCCTGCGGCTAGACGCAAGATGTGTTCTCTTCTACAATTCCTTAAAGATTTGGATACACGAAACTTGTGTTCCAAAATAGCGATGACAATTTGAATCCGTCTTGATGAATATTATTCGACCAGATTCGTAGTAGTATGGGGCATAACATGGTTATTACTTTCGTCCTTTCCCCTCCCCTCCCGTCATCTTATCGACTTGTTCTACTTTTATTTGTCTCAATATTTTCATTTCTCTTAATTTGACTTATTTTAATTCGTATTTCACCTAATGATACTTTAGATAAGTGCTAAACTTAATCCTTCAACTGATCGGCTAGTCTACGTATTATCTCTGTTACCATTTATGAACTATTTTTTTTTGTGTTTTATTGTTAAAAGATAAATGTTTTCTTTAAATATTATACAAGAATGAGTCGATCAACTCTGATCCATACTCGCGCGAGCATTACCCAATTTGACTTGAGATTGTGCGAGGTTGATTTGCATATTGACGAGCATTACTCGCACCAGCAGATTATTGTGTTGAAATTTTTTCGTATATTTTCCTATCAAAATATGTCAACGAGAATCATTGGTGGCAAGATATGAGACCAATAATATCTTCATAATTCAATGATGACTTACTGACAATTGAGAACTTCTAAGTATGCTCTAAAATTGTGGTTAAATCCGACCTACATCATAAAAGTTTTCCTTCTATTTGTGAATCATTTATGTTTTTATGATTTGGTTACAAATGAAATAACATATTGATCCTAATCCGAGGGATACAATGTATTCGATTAGGGATGACAATAAAACTCGAACTCAAAAGTACCTACCCGATCTAACCCGGTCAACGCGGGTAAAATTCGTGTTGACGGGTTTTGGGCCGAGTTTGGGTTTAAACCCGTTCACTATTCACCGGGTTGGGTTTGGGTTTAGGTAAACCCGACCCATGGGTACCCACCCACACCCATATAATTAATTTTCTCGGTATATTTAATATTCTAAACAACTAATCTTATTTATGTTTGTGGAGACATGTCTAATTTTTTTTCTTCTAATTGTGTAGAATGAAGTTAATGTTATCGAGTGGAGAGTGAAGAAACTTAATTGAAAGAAAGAAGCTTTCAATTAATCATATTATTTATGGATAATTTGTGATTGGCTTCAATTTTCTTGAGTTTTCTAGATTGGTGTTGAACAATTTGTATAGTTAATTTGTGATTTGCTTGAATTTTCTAGAATGGTGTTTTATACATGGATAATTTGTATTGATAGATTGATATTTGACTTTAATTTTGATAGGAACTTGTTATTGTAAATTTTTTACGACAAAAACCCGTGGGTACCCATAAACCCGCGGATACCCAGCGGGTTGGATTGAGTTTGAGTTTTTAAATTCAGTGGGTTTTACCCTGTATTTTTTCATGAATAAACCCATGGGTTTGATTTGGCAAAACCCGATCCAACCCGACCCATTGCCATCCCTATATTCGATCGAGCAAGAAAAGCATCGGTCTCAACTTTGTTTCGACATGATGGGGACAACTAGTTAACTTATACCTTATTATCTTGGTTTGTGGAGTATTGTTTTCCAAAAAGGCAAATAGGTGGATCGATGACATGTGACTTCTACTACTCCTCGGAGACTAGGTCATGATGAAGACAAAGAGTTGAGATTGGTTGCTTGGTGATGGTGTGCCATGAGCTATGTGGATGCACAAAACACACTTCAAAATAACCTGCTGGTGCTATGTTCATTGTCCAACTTTGAGTATGGGAGCATCTTCCGGTGCTCGTACTGTGTTGCCCATAAGAGGATCGAAAACCTGACAATCCACTACGAGGTCCCCTTATGGTGTGATGAAACTTGAAAATTGCTATTTTTCTACCATATTTTATTCTAAATTCATATATTGTTCATGCAATCTTAGTGGTTTCATGATTGAAATGATAATTTCATGTCCAAAGTGCAATTTCTAGAACTTATGTGTTTTATTTATCAGTTTCAAAAAGTGGCTATTATTGTCAAAATTGCGAAAGTTATGGCTATGCAGGCGTATTAAGCCTATTTATTATGATGCTCTTTTGGGCGATGTTTGGTAGTTTTAGGGGTCGTTTGGAAGTTGCGTATCTTAAATCGTTGTATTGTTATGAATCACTATGATATAAATGCATGCATTGATACAATAGATGCATTTTGAAATTACATTGTTTGGTTGTTGAGATTAAATTTATGAATTGATTGTTATAAAGTTACTTTATAAGGAAATGTCATATTTGTCCTCCACTTTTAATATAAAACAAAAAGAACTATGAACATAATTGGAAAAAGTAAATGTGCTCAATTATTAAATCAACAATCACAACAATCTCAACTTTTAGTTGAGATTGTACAATCCCTCATTTTTGTTGATTGTTGGTGGGACCCACACAAAACAATACATGCATTGTTTTGCAACTTGACACTTTCAAACGTTGTATTGTGGACAATGCATATATTTAACAAATACAATGCTAACAATCGCAACTTCCAAACAACTACCCAGCAAGTACACCTAGAAAGTATTTTGGAGTGAAGATGAACCATAATGGAGCAAAAACCAAAATGACCAGAACCATCTAAGATTTTGTAGCCCAAATTGCCCTAAAATTGCGCAGAACCCTAAGAGGAGCACGTGGATCAAGTTTCAACCCAAGTATAAAAACCCAACAGTGTTCTAGCCAGACTTCGACCACACCGTGCTTTTGAAGCTTATGGAATGACTTGCACGCAAAAAAAACAATTCTTGCTCGACTGAGAAGAGGATAACCCCTTGTACCACATCGAAAACATATGGGGATGTACTTTAGAGAGTTAATATATAATAGGAAGGTCTGAGTCGATAATTCTTAATGTTTTCATTTCCATTCATGTGTTAAATATTTTAAAAATCTAAGGATGCATCAACCACTTTTGATTGGCTCGGGTTTTTTAAATAGTTGTGTGTTTAGACGTTATTTGCAAAACCTTTTCAAAATTTTCTCAAACTCTGTGTGATCCCTAGAGAATTTGACTTGTCATCTTACTTTGAATCATTAAGAATAGAGATTGCATTTGATGTGGAAAGGCTAGTGTAGTGAATATATATATATGGTGCCTTCTACTGT